ACTATAATGGAGAATTAACTTACTTGCTTGCTTTACTTGAATTATATGGTAGATTTTAAATTCTAAAATCTAAAAAAAAACTTGTTATATATTTCCAATTCAATATTTCGAATTTTCTATTTATTGTTTTTGGGTTGCCCAAAAGATGGAAATTATTAAAATATTTATTAATTGCCAAAATGTATACTATATATGTCACTATTTACTTTCTTTGTTTATTATTTACACTTTATACCGACTAAAATTGACTCTCTCCTCCTCTTCCCTCGAGGGGGGTTGAAATTTCCAAAAATCCTTTTTAGTGTGCATTTTCATGACGTCCCCCACTAAAATGGAAAGTTTTTCCAAATTAAGATTAATAAAACGCTACTTAAGAAGTTCAATAAGCCAAACAAAACAAATTTATCATTAATTTCTATTGAATCTACATTGGCTGCCACTCTAGATTACGATTCCCTAATTAACGAATTTTGGTAAAGTTAAAGTTAGAAGGGTAAAACTCTAGTAGATTCTTGTAGTTGATACTTGATATTATTATTTTAAAGTAATTTTTATTTTTAAAGTAAAAATAGTATTCGTACAATTTGTGCAGTTTTTTTAAATCACAACCGAAGGTATTTTAGAGAAAAAAATTTAAGGGGCGGCATTTCAAAGACTTGCATCACACTGAGGAAATCTACGGCACGGCCCTGCTTGCATGCATCACTGGTATAAATTAGGGGCAACCAAGGGGGCGCCATAATAGGATCTCGCTCCATCCTAAAACTTACCTCGGGCCGGCACTGCAAGCATGAATCTGTGGATTTCACTGAAAAAAGGAAGAAAAATACTAAAAAGTTATAAGAAAGCTATTATTATTTGGTGGAATCAAGATAAACATATTCTCTTTATTACAAGCTTGATGACTTTAACCTGCTGTGATACTAGTTCTATACTAGTTCAAATAATGAACTAGTACAGAACTATTTGATCATTATTTGAAAAAAAAAAAATAATTCCACCAAATATAATAGTTTTTCCTAATGACTTTTTTAGTATTTTTCTTCCTTTTTTTCAATGACATTCACGGACATCCACAAATTCACATGTGTATAATGTAACAGCCAAATGAAACTTTAAACATTCATAAGTTCTGATTAGTGCATATTTTGAAAAAATGTTTTAGATAAAGGTTTATTTTTGATGTAGAATCACAATATGTAATAAAAAGTGGGAATTCTCATTTAAGAAAATCAAGTTAACCCCATTTTCACTGATTCTAGTGCCATCTATTACAAGACTGATAGCCAATCTTGTGGCCCTTTTGAAGTCTAACATTTTTGATTCAATGATTTTTTCTTTGTAGGATGAGAGAATTTCAAGTTATTTACCTTGTAATAAAGCAGTTTGGCTATAGGTACCCTGTTTCCCCAAAAATAAGACAGTGTCTTATATTAATTTTTGCTCTCAAAGATGCACTAGGTCTTATTTTCATGGGATGTCTTATTTTACCATAAAGAAGAATTCACATTTATTGTTGAACAAAAAATCCCCAAGTCTAACTTAAACGAGAGTGACGTTTATCCGGTTGTGTTGAACTGAACTTACGAAGTTCCCGTGCTGGAGTGGTCTTCCCACTCTCGCTTCAACTTAGCCCTAATTGGTCAATGAGCCCGATGTTGTAACGTTATGCAAATCTGTGATTTCCAAGCCATAGTCTTATGCAAATCATGCCATGTGGCATGATTGTCTGCTGACCAATCAGTGGCTGTACTTTCAAAAAGCCAATGGCCACTTTCAACCATCTGTTGATGACTGTTAAGACTAAAAAACTTTGCTAGGTCTTACTTTCAGGGGGAGGTCTTATATTTCGCAATTTGGCAAAACCTGTGCTAGGTCTTATTTTCGGGGAAACACGGTAGGTGGTTACCTACCTAAAACCAAATTGCTTTATAGCTAATTATTAAATTAGCCTTGAATAATGCCTAGTAAATATCTGGCAGTTCATTTGGCAATATTATTCCTGATGCTTTTCCTTTCATATTGGTTTTTATTTTGGAGTTTTACTTAATATCTTGGCTATAGGTCACTGTCTGTATACAAGAGCAGCTTAACCACAAAAAAGTTAACTTTCCTTTACAACTTTGGATTTTGCAGCTTATATGCAAGGATGGTCTATATTGAAGGTTTTAGGGCATATTGAAGAAAGCTTATGAAAAATTTCATCGTATTATTCTTAATGGACCTTTCACAAAAGATCATTGCTATTGTTCAGATCAAAAGTAGGCTGATCATTATTAATATTGTTACAGAAAATGAGATTTTAAACATCATTATGTCTAAATGATGTTTTACTTTATTTGCCAAAATTTAAAAAGTTCAACACCAGAACTGGAAGATTTCTGAAAGTCTAATGTTAAAAAATCTAAAAATTTCTGAAAATCTTCAGGAAATGCACATATTTGAAAATTGAAAAACATTCCAAGATAATATTCAAATTAAAACTTCGAAACAGTTTATAGAAGTAATGAGGAATATAAATACATAAAATCAAATATAATCCAGGATAAAACACTATCGTTATCAAATAAGTAACTAATTAAAATTATAGTATAGGTACTTTACAAGGCCTGGACATTTATCAGATAAATACTTCTAGAAGTTATACATGATATACAGTAATTCCATGCTATGGAAGTGACTCTATATATTTTGCCTTTAGACACAAATCCTTTGTCTTCTGTCTATAATATAAATTTTGATTTTTTTGGACTAGGGAAAAATTCAAAATCTACATGCAGAAGCAAAAGGACTTTTGCCTGAATGCAAAGTACATAGTCATTTCCCATAACATAGAAGTTTGTCTTATATAACTTCTAGAAGTATTTGCAATCTTAAAAATGTCTGGGCCTTATATATATATTGTAGTTTAATTACAGTTATTAATTTGATAATGATAGTGTTTTATCCAGGGTTATATTTGATTTTAAGTATTTATGACACTTATTTCTCACTATTTGTATTAACTGTTTCAAATGTTTTTTTCTGAAGATTTTCAAAAATCTTTCACTTTTATTTTAAACGCTATTGAGCTAAAAAAGAAAAAACGAAAATCTTAGAGGATAGATAATTTCTAATGTCTCTTTTTTTTATTCTTATGCATTTTTTATGTTCATCTATACTTAATATTATAAAGAGGTAAAGTTTGTAAGTTTGGATGTAGGAGGTAATCTCCGAAACTACTCATCTGATTTCAAAAATTCTTTCACCAATATTTAGAATGGACCTTCAGGATGGACATAGGCTATATATTATTTCGTTAAACATTCATATAAATTAAAAGATATCATCTAGGTAAGTGTTATATTTTTGGTGTCAGTGGGTGGCAAGGAGCAAGACGCGTACATATATGAGTTAGGTAACTGTGCAGCACAGCTGGGTGGTCGGCGAGATATGCAATGCACGTGTCCAAACTTGTATATTATATAGATGTCGAAATCCCCCCGTGGGGGAGAGGGACAAAATAAAAACTTACCGTGAAGAATTTGACTTCTATTATACTATTTTAGATGCAGTTTTTTGCAGTTTTGATTGTGTTTTATAGGGTACATCAAGAGAATGTACACTAAGAAGGGATTTTTCAAAATTTCCTCTCACAAGGAGTGTTATACATTTATAAAAGATACATTTTGAGCCACAGCAATGTGTGGCCGGGTACAGCTAGTTTGCAATAGAATTGAAATGTTTGCTATTGCATGGGCTTTATTTCATGAATACCAATTGAGCACAATTTTTTTATTTTATTTTGTAATGTAATATTAACCTTGCCTATTAAAACAATAAGAAAAACAAACTATTGATACATTTAAAATTATTTGTATTTCATTTAATAAAAAATCAATTGTTCATATATTTTACAGTAGAGCATCGATTATCCGACTCAATTGGGGACTGGGGTTGGTCAGATAACTGAAAAAACGGATAATCGAAAGATATGAAAAAATACATTATTAGTATAGTATATTAGTATATCCCACGTAATTAGTATATTAGTATATCGCTATTAACCTACTTTGCGTTGAATTTTCATCGATGTTAAGCTTAACAAAAATTTTTTTTAAATAATAATCGTCACTATTGTATCGTTAAAAATTAGAAAATTAAGCCTCGTTTAAATACTGGCTCCCTTTCATGGTCGAGCCATGTTGCCAGCTAAAACACGTAAAAATACTATTAAAGTAGCCAAGACATAGCCAAATATTGTAGCACCACATCACTAGTGGACATTTGAATTTGCCAACTAGAATGGTCAGTTAACTGATGTGACAGTTAATCAGGGGTCGGATAATCGATGCTCTACTGTAATTTGATAACATTCAAAAATTTTTAAAATTCTTAAATTATTTTTATTTTTAGCAACCTAATAAAATAGAATTTAGTACAATATTAGAAAATAATGATATTAATATTGGATGCGGAGCTGCACAAGCTTATTTCCATGGATACTTGAAAGTGTTAATGTCACAAAAAGAACAAAGTGAGTTACTTTTTTTATGCTATGATTGAGTACATTATGAAGTATAATAATTGATATTATATTAAAATGCTTTATAAAATCATGTTTACATCATGCAAATTTTAATCAATTACACAATAAAACATAATAAGTTTTTGTTAGAATCTTTGTCATGAATATGTGCAAATAAATAGTTTAAATTATATCCTAAAATTAAAGTCTGAATGAAAATACTATATGAAAAATTCTGAACCTAAGTTCAGAATTTTTCATATAGTATTTTCATTGCACTAAATTTTATTTCTTGAGAGCAGTTTGTTAAATATTTAGAAATTAGCATTCCAGTGTCTTTGATACTTTGAATCATTTAGTGCCTTATATATGTAATTTCTGAAACATTAAACATTATTTTATTTAATACACAGAATAATTTATTTATTTTTCTTGGGACTTCTTAAAAATAAACACTAGAACAAGAGTTGAGTATAATAAAATATCATTTTGAAAGATTTCAAAGATCCTTCAATATGTTACTGAGGTCATTGAGGTGCCTACCATGGAGCTCTCAAGACTGCCTAATAGTGTCTGTGCATTTTGTGTATTGTGTTATATCCAGGCCAGTATTGTTAGTTTAATGGTACACTGTTTTTATCTGCAAGAGTTATACTTTGTGTAACTTTTCTGAAGTAAAAAACTTAAGTTTCAGTGTTTGTAGTGTAGTTTAAAATATCTGTGAGTCTCATCTTTCTTTACAGGGAAGAGTCAGTCTTTCTATGAATGACTTAGGATGATGTTTGTTGTGTTTGCTTGTATTGTTTGTGTTTTCCTTTGGAATTGTTCTATTTTTATGTATGTCCAATGAATACATCAGTACAAGATGACCATATGTGTTGATAACTTTAAATGTGTGTTTTGCATTCAGCTGTGTTAAGTCAGTATTGAGTTTAATCTGCTGTTGTATTCTTTTGTTAGTCTTTGTTTTATTTATTTATGTTTTGTGAGTTTCGCTTGATGGAATCCTAAATACTTGCTCTCGTCCATGGATTAAATGATGTCTCCAAGTACAAAATCACCTTTCAGGATTTTTTTTCTTTCTGAAGTGTTCTGCATTTGTCTACATCAAATGTCATTGGAATAAGTGTGTGTAACTTCTAACAGATGATTTTCAGCTATGCTTATATGGCAGTGGCATGCCATGACATTTGATGATAGGGAAGCTGTGTTTCTGTAAGAAGTTGACTTTCAGGGGCAATAAGTTAATTGCACATCAGTGATGGTCAAGGCCAGTGGTTCCCAACCTTTTTTCATTAGCGTACCCCGTGACATGTCATATCTCTAGATTGTACCCCGTGACATGTCATATCTCTATCTCTAGATTGTACCCCTCACTTAAGAAATTTAGTGAGTAACCGTATTGTTAATTTTACATATTGTAACTTTAAATTAAAGAAAAAAAACCTAAAAGAAAAAATGTATAATAAAGTTGTGATTGTTGCAAGGAACATTTTTTATCTAATAATTTTTTAATACTATTAGTTTGTGATACATAATATATTATTTTTTCTGCCATAATAACTAACTTTTTTCTGTACCCCTAAACAACCTATTGCGTACCCCTAGGGATAAGCGTACCACAGGTTGGGAATCGCTGGTCTAGGCCAGTGGTGTGCCGTCAATGGAGGCGGTGTAAGCACCACTTCCCTTGTATTTTCTAAAAAATAAATACATATTGTGTGATTATTTTCATATAATTAAAATTAATATTTTATTATAACCGCATTATGTATCTTATTACAAATTTCTATACTACATGTGAAAAAAATGATAAGATTGCTATTGTATATTCGAATATTAGTGGCGGAATGGAAGCGCTGCATTGTCAGCTTCCAAACAGCCAGATTATACTCATTTGCGCAATCATTTTACAGAGCACCAACCTCACCCAGTTTAGCTGGTGGAAGCTGCACACGTATAATGCTTCCAATGATTCTATCCAGGACCGGTTCTGAGCTGTTAGCTGCCTGCTTGCTAGATATTTGGCCACCCTCACCCAATTATGTGAATCGTGAATAGATTTATAACTTAACCCAACCAATAGGAGTTTACTAATATGTTTTTATGGTAATTCTGTATAGTTGACAAGAGTTTTAAAAAAATCCATTAAAATATTTGATATTTTTATTCTGCTCTCCCATCTTATATTACTTATGGATTTCAACGTTAAACCAGTGATATTACAATTTCGTATGTCTCATCTTTAAGAGGATGTAGGAAAAACGTGTACAATTCTTGTACAATGTTAAAAAATTTACTGTTACTTTGGTACCATCATTTACAACTAAATTTAATGAATGAGATGCACAAGATACAAAAACCTCTAGAATTTATATTCCTTAAATTTACAATTTATGTATCCATTTGTCATAAAAATTTGTCTTTCCACTTTTTTCCCAAGACTACAAATATTCTAGTACAAAGTAACCGGTTTCGACTTATTTCTACTTAAGATGTAGTTAAATAATCAAGTGATTAGGGAATTGGGGACATAAATAAAACCATGATAAAAAAGCCAGAATTTTTCTTAAATAAAAGCTTTTGTTTTATGACCAGGTGGTGTCCATGGAAATTTCCAAAATTTACAACTTTTCGGTCACTCTCATTGAACTGGAAAAATTGCTGTCTTTATTACATCTAATATTACAAAGAAATCAGTCCCCACTGTAGTTGGCTAGGAATTAGTTCAGTTAAGCTTTTAAGTAAAATTTCAGCTCTCAGCAGGGTTTTATTTATGTCTCTAATTTCATAATCTTTTAATTATATGTGAATACGGGGGGGGGGGCGTAAGTCTCCTGTTCACTTGTCAGGATGGCTAATTGACTCTCAAATGTCAGGTGAGTGGATGGAGAGAATTTGGGGTCGACGATAAGGTGAAGGACGTGATCGAGTAAAGGAGTCTACCATATTTATAACAAATAAAATAACAATTTATTAAAACAAGCGAATTAATCAAAGACTACACAAATTCACAAATAGCGCCTATTTTCTGCCTAAAATTCCGCCTAATATGCTCGAGAGAGAGAGTTTTCCGCTTTCATACCTCTTTTTGGAATTCCTTTATCTGTTTACTCCAGGGAGGCGCTTAAATGTTCAAATCTATTATCCACAGAGCACAAATTTAAAAAGTTTGCGACTTTTGTGATGATTTTATTCGAGGTTCATCGGAGATCGGAATTCGGCGGGTTCGGAAGATCGGCACGATGTCATTAGTCCTGCGTTCGTTCGTAGACTCCCCCGAGAGGGGGTAAGAACGGTCTTTTATAGGTTTTAGTGGGAAATTTCCACCACGTGATCAGATGTTCATGAGTTAAAGGTTATAGGTGTTCCAGGGATCTAAAACAAATGATGACATTTAGATGCTAACTGTAAACCTTCTTGCAAGATGAGATGCCTGTTCTGCAAAGAACAATGGATGTTGCTAGTTATGACTGGAAAGTTTACACAATCCCAGCTAAAAATCGGTTTTTTCTTCTAGGGCGTTACATAAACGAAAGTTTAATTAATTAACATTTTTGTTAATAAAAGAGCGGGATTTCCGTCACAAAAATTCTGGATCTCGCATATAACTACTTGTTAATGACATATTTCAAATTTAAATATTTACATACTTGTAAAGTAGAAATAACAAGTATTAACTATTCTACTTAACAAGTATTAACTACTTGTTAAGTAGAAATAAGTTGAAACCGGTTATTTTGAACTTGAACATTTTTAGTCTTGGGAAAGAAATGGAAAGACAAATTTTTATAATGGATACATAAATTTAAGGAATATAAATTCTAGAGCTTTTTTTTTTTGTACCTTGTGCAACTCGCACAAGGTACAAAAAAAATTTACAACTACATTCATTAATAAATTTTGTTGTAAATGATGCTGCCAAAGTAACAGTAAATTTTTTAACATTGTACAAGAATTGTACACCTTTTTTTCTACATCCCCTTACAGATGGGACATACTAAATCATAATATCACTAGTTTAACATTGAAATCTATAAGTAATATAAGAAGGGAGAGCAGAATAAAAATATCAAATATTTTAATGGATATAAAAATAACCACTTAACAAAACCAATAACCGGTATTAAATAATTGTAAAATGAACTGCAAACGTTTTTGGTTCCTTCCCTAGGACCTTTCTCAAGCGGCAATTCGGTTCCTTCCCTATGACCTTTTGAAATGTTGTTCGGAAGAATAATTTTTCGAATGTCGCAATTTACTGGTCTTTGTTCATATTTATTCTAAAGACGAATCGCTGCTTGAGAAAGGTCCTAGGGAAGGAACCAAAAACGTTTGCAGTTCATTTTACAATTATTTAATACCGGTTATTGGTTTTGTTAAGTGATTATTTTTATATTTTTATATTAATCTGGTATTTGAAGATTCTTTATTTTAATGGATTTTTTTAAAACTCCTTTCAACTATACAGAATTATCATAAAAACATATTAGTAAACTCCTATTGGTTAGGTTAAGTTATAAATCTACTCACGATTCACATAATGGGGCGAGGGCGGCCAAATATCTAGCAGACAGGCGGCTAACAGCCCAGAACTGGTCCTGGATAGAATCATTGGAAGCATTTTGGTGTGTAGCTTCCACCAGCTAAACTGCCTGAGGTTGGTGTTCTGTAAAGTGCATGTGCAAATGCCTATAATCTGGCTGCTTTACACTGTTCAAATATTTTTGCCCCAGAAGCTGTCCCGTATTTGACAATACAGAGATTCCATTGGCAATACAATATGCCATTGGCATACAATAGCAATCTTATCATTTTTCTCATCTGTAATATAGAAATTTGTAATAAGATATATAATGCAGTTATAATAAAATATTAATTTTAATTAATCCAAAATACATTAAAATATGAAAATAATTGCACAATATGTATTTATTTTTTAGAAAATACAAGGGAACTGGCACTTCCACCACTTCCAACGATGGCATTCCACTGATATATGGATGTGTAGAGTTTTATATTGTCCAAGATGAGATGTGTATTGTTTTGTTCTGTTGTATTTCATGTATCTGTATTAGTGTTGTATATGTATACCTATTGGATAGAGGGTTTAAGGCCATATAAAACCAAAGATTCCCTGGAAAATGCCTCACCTAATGTGTATTTGGTTTGTTTTAATGCATGTTGTGAATTCTGAGGAAAAAACTGTGGTTCTCCAGTGTTTCATTTTGTTTTAGAAAACAATATATCCAAAACTCTTCACACTTTTAGAATTATGTAGGTAAAGTATGCTTTAATCATGAGTGTGGGATACTGTCAAATGCCTTTCTATAATCTACAGACACTACAATTAGGCTTCAGTGTTGTTTGTGCTTGTCGTAAAATGACTGATTCTATGAGTAGTGTTCTTTGCATCCTATATGATTTTATGACAGCCTTTTTGTTTACCTTTGAGAATGTTGTCATTCTATGTGATGGCACATTTTATGATGCATGAAGTATTTTGTTAAGTATTGAAAGATGTGTGAATGGTCTTTAGTGTTGTTGTCGTTTCTGACTATTATTAGAGAGGATGTGGCTGACGTTTTCATCACAAAAACATGAATGTTGGACGTTTAGCGCCTCCTTCCTGTAAGTATAGAAGTTTGACAATGGCATGATTTCACTGATGTTTCAAATGCTATTGTCAAACTTCTAAACTTACAGGAAGGTGGTGCTGAACATCTGACATTCATGTTTTTGCGATGAAAACATCTAAAAAACTTACGTATAATAAAATAATAGAGAGGTTGCAGCCGATGAAAACATCGGCTGCAACCTCTCTATTATTTTATTATTGTTATTATTTTTGCAGGTTGGGAGGAAAGATTAAAAGAATATGAACAAAAACAAGGAGTTAAAATTTTTTCAAAACTTATCATATTATTACCAAAAAGCTGTAAAACATTTGATACACTGACAAATGTGAAATGTACACCAAATATACATTGGGCACGTAAATTGCGTACACTTAAAATTGATGTATGTGGAAATCAGAGAAAGTATAAAAATACAGTTTATGTGATAAATGAGGTAATGTTTATTATCTAATTTTTAAATTTGAATTTTAAGTAATTTATAATTTAACATTAAAAAAATGTTATAGGGTATTCGATTTGTAGCTGAGTATGCTCCTCCAATAAATACTTTTCATCAGATGTCTTATATAGGAGTCAAATATAACCTCAATGCAGACACAAGGAGAGAGCAACATATTTTATTCCAAAAAACTTTACAGCATTTAATTAATAATGATATGGATTGTGTGAATAATTGCTTGCTTATCTCATATAATGGTAATTATATTTCTTGTTTTTATGTGATAAAATCTTACATGCTAAATGAACTATTTACATTTTTTAGATGAGGAAGATTTATCTTTATCTGAACTTATTCTTTTATCAATTAAAGATGATGAACTACAAACAGCACGAGCAGCTGGTTAATATATTTATTGGAGACATTTTTGAAAATGTTCCTAATTATATGAAGAAACATGTCACTATCAGCATATAATGTATTAATACCAGTACTTTCAACCCAATGTAGATCATATTTAGATTCTTTGCCATTAGAATATAATACATTGGCTAATACATCTGCAATTTAGAATGTTTCTAATGCAAAATTTGATGGCTGAATGGTGAAAGAAATAAGGTGGGATCAAACCCAGGAGAGAAATTCCCCAGAAATTTTTCAAAGACAGTGTATTTTGGATATATCAGGCCCCATCCTGCTCCAAAAGGTCTCCCCATTGTAGGCCTAGTCAAACCCATGGTGGGTATGGAAAAAAAACCCTAATGATTTCACAGCATGGAAAGAGAAAAATGAAAAAGTTTTACATTTTCATAATAAATCATACCATTCACATTTTTTCAGTAGCAACACTTTAATATACATGAACAAGTATTTATTGTGACATTGTCACAATGCTGCAATTTTTAATTTATATTCAATTTAAAATATATGCTCTCGATTAGTAGTGTCATATTCCTGTATATCATGCTTTTCCTGTTAACTTTTCAACAGTGGGATAGTCAGGTATGGTGCTATCCTAAAGTAGTGGAGAATAAACATGGGAAATTTTTAAAGTATTTTTCCATGTTTTTTTTTTCTCATCACCGTTTCGGAAAAAGATTTTGTAAACAGTTATGTCTAGTAAAGAAAAGTCTTTTTTTATTGTTACATAATTCATTTTTTATGTGAATTTTTTTTCGCGGTAGTTTTTTGCTAGTTTTTGGCGATACCCCCAAAAGAATTTAACAGATATATCTGTCTTTCACCATTGCCACACAATCACCCTGGACAGATATATCCATTCCTCACTGTCGAGTGATTAACAATAGAGTCATGCTGGACATCTGTTAACTCCATTCTGAAGAAAATTTTTGAATTGAAATGACATGACTTCTGGTCCAAACCAGAAGTTCGTATACAGTTAATCAAGGCCTCCTAAGCTCTTTCTATCTGGTCTCAACTTTCATCTAACTAACTCTTTTCTTGAGATTAAGGAAGGACAGATGGATGCTGGTGGGAATTTATAGGTCTGCAATTTGAAAATTGTAACCCAATAAACACTTATACATAATTTACAGCTTACATATTGGAAGAGTTCACAATATTTATTTATTGAAAGAATAAAAATATTATTATAGTAGGTTGTGATTAAAAGATTATAAACAAAATCAACAAACAAGGAATAGCTTGAGTACTATTATACCAACACCAATGAAAGTCATACAACTTCCATAAAATTGTAAATTATTAAACAAAAAATCAAAAAGTATAGTATTATTTATTTAATTTTAATAATAGTGATGATATAAATTTTAGAAATAATATATTTTTTGGTATATTTTGTTCTAGTATCTTAATTTGAAACATATATTTAATTTTACTTTAAAAGTTTAGATTGTTTAATATTTAAATGTAATAAATTAAAACCTAAAACCCAATTCTGAAGTTGTTAAAAATGTTATTAACCATTTAATTTGTTTATTTTTCTGTGTAGTCAAAGTACAATTTTATATCTATCTATATATATATATATATATATATATATAAATGGACGTGTGTGTCCCTATATTTCACTTTTCAGCCAAAACTACACATTGCACATGAATGGTGTTTGTATGTGGTAGTAGCCCCAAGTCTCCATTCATGCACTATGGTGGTTGCGTCTCGATAGCTATAAGGGGGCGGGAGATATGGGCTTGAAAGTGGTTGAAAGTGGAAGATTTTCTATTTCGATTTTAAAAATTTTCGAATTTGTATTCGAATTTAAATTCAAATTGGTTCGATTATAGAACGATTGTAAACGTTCCAGAAAATTGATCAAATTGAAAATAGTTTGTTTGACTGGATATAAAAATTCTCTAATTAGTCTGGAAATGGGGGACCTAGTTCTTGCATTCTGTGAAAACAGGTAAGATTGGCTATAATGTAATTATCTTAATCTTCACTATCGTTACTTTTTGACCAGCGAAGCAGGTCCTTGCAGCTAGTTGTTTATATTTATTTTAGTAATGTTTAATATATTAAATGTTACTACATGCTGTATATATATATGTATGTATAATTAAATTTTATAGTTTGTTAAGTTAATTTTATAACAGAATTTTAATTTTGTAAAATAATATGTAAATAAAAGTAATTTGCTCAATAACGTTTAATTTGTATTCATGTTTTTTTGTGTTTAAAGACTGGATTTAAATTTGTTACTCCATAGAAACACATTAAAATTCCCAAAGAGACAACAATGACTTAACAAAATATAGACAAACAGTAAAATATCTAGTAAGTGATAATTTATCAGTTGTCATCTCCTAGATAGGTTACAAAGGAAGCAGCATTACTAGGGTTGATATCACCTCATAGATATTTTTTTTATACCAGATCATACAGAATCTTTAGATGTTTTTTTATATGCACTAATATTACTGTGAGATCCAACCCGTGTGCAACCCCATTTTTCACTTTCCTCCTAATATTTTGACATATTATAAACAAATTTATTATCTTACCGGGAAAAACCCATTGTCAGAAAAAAAAATGGAATCAAGTATCTCACTTATATCATGATATCAAATATCTAACTCTCCCCGTTAATGTAAACATTCAACCATCTAATAATTGTCTTCTTCTGCTGCAAGATTTAACGTTTACGTTTAAAGTCCAACGTTTTTTTTTTTTTTTTCTTGGGACCACCTTTAACCTCCACATCTGTTAAAACAACCTTAGTTATAAACAATAGTTGATCACATGACGAATTCTCCCACCACAATGTTATAAAAGCCACTTTTCCTTCCCCTTCAGGGGGAGTCACTGATTAGGAGTCGAAATGTCGAAGTTGACATTGTCTTTTCCACCACCAGACCTTATGACACCAACCATAGGACCTTGTGCTACAACCCAAACCATTGTTGAGAAGATCTTAGAGAGAAATATCTCACCGATATTGTCTAAGAGGTATGAAAGCATTATTGTAAACTCCCTCTCTCCTCCGCAAATTAGCAGGATAGTGTATGAATAACCTTGTATCTTTTAATTTTGTTAGTTGATTTAAATAAACTCTTGTTTTGTTATAAATGGAGTCTTTACTCGACTGGGCCAATGTCTTACTGTCGAACCTCTCTGACTCTCCTCCACTTGCGTAACACATAACAGAACGTAACATCATCCTTGACAAGAAAATAGGTCATTGACCTGTTGCTGGAAAGGAGGAGCACCAACAACTTCTGATCTCCTCGGTGGCTCACATTACTTATAAATCATCATTCTTGTATATTAATTAATGACTGTAAAACAAACAATTAACAAAATTAAAATTATATGCACAGCATACAAGTATTATATTTTTTAAATTGTATTTTAGTTGTAAAATTTAAAATATATATGCATTTTTTATTGTTATATGATGATAATGGTATTTCTGATCAGAAAGCATTAGGTAGTTCAGAAAGAAATTACCATAGTTTTAGCATTGTAGATAGTATATATTAATAAATGTAAACTGGGCATAAAAAAATGCTTTTGTTGTTAACTAACTACAAGTATATTTAAAATAATAACAACCTTGCTCTGGTGAGAGAGCTCAATAATGCTGATGAACCACAGAACTATGCTGGCTGGAGTATCTGCTCCTGATAAGGTGAGCCATGCCAGTGAGATGTGTGGGGAGAAATGAAGCCAAGAGTGATTGAACCCACATCTGTGGTGATCTAACCATGGTGATAACACAATCCAAGTGTAATATCAGTTTAGACATCACCTGGGTTAACAAGATCTGTGTTTGTGAGTTAGGCTGAGGCTCACATTCAAAAAATATTTCAGTCTCCCTTGTCCACCAGTGGTGAAAACAGCACTGGTCCAAGTATTGTATTGTACTGCAGTGCCCACCAGTTTTGGAAAACTATACTAATCTTGATGTTTCTAAGACAATCCAGCCACAGACCACTGAGATGGGTAAACCACACTTATGGATGAAATGGACATCAGAACCATGGACTAAAACTAAAGACAAGTTTATCATCTGTACTTACTACACCATCACAAAACTCAAAAAAGACATGACAGCATACAGGCAACAGTTACATCACTTGCTTTCACAACAATATCCTCATCTCACAGTCACTGTAAAAAGGTTGTTGTTCAAAAAAGAATAATTATACATAACCTTATACCACAAACAACACTAGAACATATCAACAACAAATTGCAGAACAATTACATCAACAATGGTCACATAATCCTTAATTAAGGATCAAGATACATGCATTGACAATACTGTTTTCTACCTATCACTATTTTCACTGATGCTGACAATACTTCTTCATTGCTTGAAACAGGTTCAGGTTTAATTCATACTATCACTCTTCTTTTCCAGGAAACACTCACAAAATTTACAGGCATTGACTTTATACAATGACCATACATTACCAAAATCAACACTTTTAAACTGGTAGGGAAAATTCTACACTATGTGAACACTTACATATTACCATATTGCACTCATTCTATTTTTACACTCTCATATATTCACACACTAGTTTATTTGGATACAGTCACAGTAGTGAACTACCATGGACTAAAACTAAAGACAGAAGTGCAATTATCAAAAACCCTTCAGAAACCTGCTTTGCAAAGAAGAATAGAAACACAAATAAACAATATTAGACTGCAGCTAGACAGGCTGACACAATATGCTAACAACAAAACACTTAAATTAATGAAACAACTAAAAAACTTTTCATAAAAATTAAAATACACACAAAGCATGAACAACACAATGTTTACATTACAGATTATATTGACATTCTCAAACAAAACCTTGCAGCCAAAGCAAGACAACTGAAATCAAAGATTTGTTCTGTACGGAAACAACAAAATAAATTAGTTACATACAATGAAAAACTCTTCTACAGACAAATGAATACCAAATGCACTACTGATTTCCAACACAATGGCATGCCAACTGAAGAACTCACAAATTATTGGTCTTTTCTTTGGTCTACTGCTGTTATGCTGTTATGCACAATGCTGATGCAGGTTGGATCAAAGAGGAGAGCAGACATGCAGGACACCTAGTATGAATTGTGTTGAAATAAAGGAATAAGACATTCATAGCACAATGCAGAAAGTACATGATTGGACAACACATGGTGTAGACAATATTCACAATTTCTGGTACAAAAAACTTACATCCCTGCACCAGGAACTAGCTAAACATTTAACTCATATCATCAACAATCCACAAGACATGCCAGATTTTCTCAGCAGGGTATAACCCACATGAAACCAAAAAACAACAATGCTAAAGATCAAAGATTGCACAGTACAGATTAATTACATGTCTTCTAACACTTTTCAATATTCTTATCTCTGGCATTGCAAACAAAATATAGTCTTATTGATGAACACGACATTTTTGCAGAACAATAAAAAAAGGCTGCTGTAGAAATCAAAGGTTGCAAAGAATAACTACTTATTGACTCTGTTATCCTACAGCAAGTTCATAAGCAACACAAGTATAAAAATGGCATAATTGATTACAGAAAAGCATTTTACAGTGTCCCACACACTTTGCATCTACAAAATCCATCTCCGTCTATTGTTTCATTTGTTTTACAATGCTCCACTGGAGAACAGCATTTCATCTTAACCTTCACAACACTCCAGATAAAAACAAATCAAATATACATCAAGTGAGGAATTTTTAAAGGATATTCCTTGAGTCTTCTTGCACTTAACCTGTTATCTAACACATTGAACAAAACACAATATGGTTATAATATCAGATGCAACAAAACAACATTGTTCACATTGTCACACCTTATATATACATGGACAATAAGAAACTTTATGCATCCATACAGAATCAGCTTTATCATCTCTTACAAACTACCACACACACACACACACACACAAATGATGTACAAATGGAGTTTGGTCTAGACCAGGGATGGCAAACCTATGGCACGCGTGCCCAAAGTGGCACGTAAGGAGAAATCATCTGGCACGTAATGTATCATACGATTTCTGTATCATCTTTTCGGTTTATCACCCGATCATCCTTTTTTTAATCAGCTTTTTTACTTTTTTACAATCTAATTAAAGTGCATTCGTTTAATTTCTTTAAATATCGTTATTCAAAGTCTGAAACTTTGGCATGCATAAACATCTTTAAAGCTAAGTATGCTTACAATATAATTGTATACTTGCTTACTGGAGAATTCAACTTAAAAATAAAAAACCATTTAACTATCCAGCATAATTCTTTAATAACATAAAAACATTTTCAAATGCATTGAGCGTTCATCATCAGTTATTTTATCAGAATTTCCCGTTTCGAATTAGAGAAATAACTGATGATGAATGCTCAATGTGTTTGAAAACGTTTTTATGTTATTAAAGAATTATGCTGGATAGTTAAATGGTTTTTTATTTTTAAAATGCTTACAATATGGCATGCAAACATAAAAAGGTTCGCCATCCCTGGTCTAGACCAATGGTTCCCAAATTTATTATGCTCATGGACTCCTTCTCATAGCAAAAACCTGACTACAAACTCCAAATGAAATAACTCTACACAACTACATAACAGCAAAATTACAAATTTAACTTTGATGTCTTGAATGATGAATAGTGATTTAAAAATAAAATATAAATGAAACATTTTGATATTTAATTAATTAAAGTAATATTTATTGAAATTACTAGCTAAAGCTTGCCTGATTTGAAAAATGAGTATAATATAGTGAAAACAAAAAAAACATGTATAATTTATTTCTAATTGGGTAATAAATTACATTAAAAAATATAAAATTAAGATTTTTATTTTATCTATTGAATTTTCATAGAAAAACATATTTTATGGAGAGTACTTTTGGTCATCTAGTGTGGTCCTCATTTCCAATATCCCTATAGTAATGCCACTGATAGGAAGCCATATTTGCTCCCTATCAGTGTTGAAGTTTAAATATTTAAACTTCAACTCCTTCTCTTAGTAAATATAGAGAAGGAAACTTACTCTTACTGAAAATATACATATTTTCACTCAGAAATTTATTTTGAATTTCAACAGTCAAAATCATATTGATACTAGATGGCTGAGGCAGTTAAGGTGTCAGCCTATTGCTTTGAGACAAGAATTGAATCCAGGTGGTGGTCTGTTCCATTTTTGTTGGCTCCATCCCTCATCACCTGGCCACAACCATAATGAATGTAATCTATTGATAGTATCTACTTATTCTTTTGTCACCAATATTAATTCAGAAGTTTGCCATTCCAGAAATAAATTTTGGAGATTAATTTATTTACTCTCAACAATATCAAAAGTGCAATCTGGCAAGGGTTTTGGACTTGAGGACTCTCCAGAAAGTTTTGTGATCTGTCCACCATAACCCTTTGGAAGTGAATGATCTGTCCATAGGTGGATTACTCCTTTCATGCAGAAATGCTCCTTGGAAATCTGATGATGAATAGTCTGTTTTAACATGTAACTCTGTGTTGAGTAAATATGAGAGAAATACCCCAATTGGAAATGTATTGTGCACAATGAGTGTTTCCAATGATTGAGGTTCAGGATGGACACTTTGAACATCTGTCAAATGTCTGAAAGTGTACTTGTAATAGGAACAAAACAATAAACTTAATCAAATTGCTTTATATTTGGGATGGCTTATGCATATTTTATCAAGTAACTAAATGAAGAGTTATAATGTTCAATATGACTAATACATCGCACCACTAAATTCTACAGCCACTTTTTAACTGAGACCATCAAAATAATGAAATGGAGACACTATCATCAAAGAGCCATGGTTATTTTTAAAAATTCCATGTTTAAAATTGTTCACAAAATAAGAAGTATCTGTAGAATTTAATGGTATTAGTTACATTATAACTTTTTGTTTAGTTACTTGATAAAATGTACTGTACTTGTAATAAGAAATGTATACTTTGTTTCATTATTTCCTTTTCATATTGTATTATTTCACCTATGATCTGTCTGCACAGTCTCATAGTTTCTACTAAGAAACAACACATCTGAGAACATGGGTTGCTGCACAAAGATCTTGCAGAGAGAGAACATTTTATTATATCACAGTTTGTCGCAAAACCCTGAAAATTCTGTAATATGCAGGTAATATGCAAACATTTGAATGGGAAGCTTGAACGAAAAACTTACAATTGATTACATGACAGAGGAGCAAAATCAATGCTTATGTAAAATATTTGTTAGGTATTGAGATTTATAAACATATTCATATGATACCAGTTAAAAACATCATTAAAAACTCATTTATACTTGATAAACTTTTTTCTAATTTATTATATTCTATTTTTTTTCTTAATTTATTATCAACATTATACAATAAAATGCTGTATCATTAAAAAATGCAGAGATGCAGAGAAGATTACAGGGGAAGAATAAAAAGTATGATGTAAAATGCAAATTTTCTTTATGCTGCTTCCAGAAAGACAGTGTTTTTCTGAATTTCACACCTGCAAAACAACAAAATGTAAACAAGCAATTATTTATGGTGACATTGTCACAATGCAGGCTGCAATTTTTAATCATATTTTTAATTTATTTCATTTAAAATATAGGACGTGGCTATTTATACATACAGTATGTATATGCAATTGGCTATTTATACATACTGACTGTATGTTCCTTTATTCTGGCCAGATACTGACTGTATGCCCTATTATTACAATTAATATTTTGATAATAACTACAAAATTATAAATAATTATAGTTTTAATTTATTAAAGTTCAGTTACAATGTTGTTCAATAAAGTAATCAATAAACTATGAAGTATCATTAAATCAGTGAAATATAGGTAATGAAATTTAAAGTAGATTGGTAGGTATTCCAATAAATTAAAATAAATATATTATTTTTTATTCAGTATTTTAATTTTTTTTTTGTAAAAAGTGGTTTGCTTAGTCTTTTTCTTTGGATGTTCTTTGGATTTAATTTTAGTTTCGAATTTTAAGTTTTTATTTGATTGATTTGAACAGGGCTCGTTATTAGACCAAATTTGTTCTTCAGATTCTTTTCGTTCAATTGTACTAAGCCCACTGTTTTCATGTTCAAAAAGAGAAATTCCATTTCTTGCATTGCTTTCTATTACTTTTAATTCCTCTACATATTTATTGAAGGTTTGCGTTCCATAATTAGACAAAATATCTGCAATATTTTTAGTTATCGCCAGTGCTGTATTAAATTTTTCCCTATCCGATAATATTTTGTTGGGACAATCAAAATCATCAGTAAAAGTTTAATCTTCAATATGATCATTGATGTCTACATTTACGTCATCTGTATCCATACTTAGTGCATCTTCAATTGAAATAATATATCTTGCATAAAAGCAATTTTTGAAAATATGTCCAAATTATTATATTTTCTTATCATAAGAATATGACAACATGGTGCACTAAAAGAATTCCAAAATGAACAATACACCCAGTGATGACATTCGAAATATTTAACAAAGGGTTCGCTAACAGAAAATTTTTCCTTAACAATTTTTTTTTTCGCTCAAATGGTGCATCGGAAGGCTCTAGTTTAGTAGTGTTACAGAGTATAATACGTATATTTTAATATTTTTAAAAGAATCAAACCATTGAGAAATGTTACATGTGTTTAACAAGGTTCGGAAAACTTTGAAAATGTTAACAACGGGTTCGGCCGAACCTGTGCGAACCCGCTGAATATCACCACTGAATACACCTTAAAGGGAAAATTTTTGAATTAACATGGCTTCCGATTTGTATCAGAAGTTTTTATGCAGTTAATCGGGGTCTCCTGCCCGTAAGCTTTCCATATCACGTTTTTCATCTATCTAACTCTGTTCTCGAGATTAAGGAAAGACGGATGGACAGCAGTGGGAATTTATAGGTCTACGATTTTTTTCAAATTGCAGTCCAATCATTTAAAAAAGAGCTAAAGTGCCAAACAGATTTCTTGACGCGAATTAGCTCCCAAAAGAGCGAATCTAGCGACCCTGTGCCAATGTGCTAGTAAATTTGTGCCATTTGGCTAATCTAATTAACTCTGTAAATACTATCTGTATACGCATTCCAGTGTAATTATTCAAAATAACTGAGTTTTATCATAATTTTGTCGAGTTTGAATATGCGACTTTTCCACCGAGTCTCTCAAATTTATATAAAATTCTGAAAAGAGAAATGATAACGAAATATCTCTGCGTAAATAGCAGATATTTTAAAGACCTGAAAATTCGGAGGTTTCGGTTTCAAAAAGTCACTAGGTTTCATTTAAAAACGCGAAATCTCAAAATTGCGAGATTTAACATTGCACCTGTGACGTCATATACTTTATCATATGCATTATACTGTATAATGACTTCATTGATTATTTGTCTGAGAAAAACCATTACGTCATTTCAGAAATTTTGTAAAATTCGATTTTAATTTCTAAACATTAAAATTTTTTTCCAAAAATATTCTAATTCGAAAATAGTTATTAGTAAATTTAGTTAATAGAAAATACGATTCTCGAGCAAGGTCTTAGAATTCTTGATTCTCGAGAGCAATTTTTAAAGCGAAATCTAAACCGGAAACGGAAGTTACATCATATAATAAGCTGAAGTCATGCATATATGTTATCTGTAGTTTATTATTATTTATACTACTCTATAGTCGAGTATTTGAAGAAATTCAGAGATTATTTCCACATCGAGCAGTATATTTAACAAATATTAAATCAGATGACATCTAGGTAACCTTTAAATATATTATTATTATTATTATTAAACGTGTGATCCATAAGATGTTATATGAATATGGTGTAACAAGCAAAAGTATTGATAATTCGCGGGAAATTAATATATTTACATGATATATCTTAATACATTCCTTATTCTTCTAGTTATTCTTCATATTGAATCCATTTCTATATTTAAAACCCAACAAACAAACAAGACAGTTTTCATGAGGTATGTATGTACAGTACTGTACTGTACATCTTTTTACATTTTAAATATGAATGTAGTTTTAAATTAATAAAAGTAAAAATGATATAAATTAATATACTGATAGTTTATTTTCTGATATGATATTAGATTTTTTATAGTGCTTCTATGTTGTGAAATATATATATATATATATATATATATATATACATATATAGAGAGAGAGCTTTATCATATTCAAAATAGTCTGGATTTCATCAAATGGTTTGTTCCATATCTCATATGTCAAGTTTAATGTGTTTACATTAATTAATATGTATTTGATGAAATTTCACCCTGCCCAGTTTTTTTATAAGTCATTTTATATGTAATTGTTAATCATTTTGTTGAGGTGAGAAATTGCATTTTGAATAACATGGTAATGTTTTTAAATAGATATGAATAGAATAAGTATTATAACAAATTTTAATCATAGTGAAATTTGCTCCTTAGTTTATAATATATTTATTAAGTGTTTATTTATTTATTAAATACAGTATATACACATACCAAAAATTAGTAATTTTAATTTTTTTTGTATAATGATCATTTTTTACATTTTATGAAATTGACTGTTGATTCTATTTAAGTTTATAATAAATTTCAAAAACAAAATATTCCAGTTTATTTCATAGTACAAAAAAGAAATTTTAAGGGAAAAAAAAGTAGAATTGTACTGTACTTATTATTTTATATCATTTACCAGAAATCTTATAAAACTGATATATTTTTTATGATAATATTTTAAGAACATATTAAATGATTATAAATTATTTTAATAATAATTCTTTTTGAAAATATTGATCACTTAAATTAAGTTATTTGGTACAAGCAATAACTTAGCTTAATATAAAATTTCCAATAAAATATAGCAGTTTATATATCATTTAGATCAGTGATGAGCAACCTTTTCTGGTGCAGGCTAGAAGGAAATTTTATAGGATCCCAACATGCCATATACATTTTTTTTTCTTTTATGGAGTTGCAGGCTTTAAGCCTGCCAAGTACCAACTACACCATAACTGTCAGTACACTTTACTAAAATAATATACAGTAATTTGCTAATGTTAAGCAAATTAGTAATATATAGTATGTAGTTATCTTTTCATTAGCCATGTTTGGTTTAAATGTTCTTTATCACAAATATTGGCTTAGAGTTGCATAATGGCACGAATCAGAAAACACAAAAAAAATTACATTAGTAACCCAACAACTACTGGTTTATATCAAGCTATTATATTGCAATTAATTTAAATTAATTACTAAATAATTTGTCACTAGAGAGAGGTGTTAGGTGCCATCTCTTATTAGATTTAATAAACACTGGAGGAGTTATTATGACTGATTGATCTTACATAACAACAAGGACTATAAGACTGCCAGATTACAGTTACTTTATATTTGTGCAGATAAGACAAACTTCAGATAAGACAAGAAATAAATTTTTGTCAAAGATTTATAGTTTTAGCATATATCTATCCTATAAGACGACCCCCAAACTATCAACAGCCTATGAATTTAGTTTAGACCACCAATCATCTGAATAATAATATTGTATAGCATATACAGAATTATGTCCTATTTGTAATTTTTCGAATGAACAAATTTTATTTTCTTGCATCTGGCAGCACTGCCTTGCTATTGTTGCAAACATTTGCACTGATTCGGGCATTCAGGTAATGACCTTGACTATTCACCAAAACATTGTATGGTCTATTCTATTTTATGGACATATTACTCTCTACTAGTAAATATACTACTGGCCAAGTAAAATACAACACCATTTAGGACTCTAGATATTGCAGGTTTTGCATTTTACTTGGCCAGCAGTGTAATTACGGTTTTTCCATTTTTTATAATGATTTTAATTTATATAAATTTCAATCTATTTCTTTTTTTTTTTTTGTATCTGTCCTAAAAGATGACCCCGGATTTTGGGGATCTTTTTTATGATTCAACTATCGTCTCATCTGCACAAATATACAGTATATACAATGTTTACATTGCTTATAATAGCTAGTTCTTTATGTATTTATCCTAACATGGGAAAATAATTATTTTACGGCATAAAAAACCAGATCTGACTCTGTTTCTAAACAAACTTGACGACAATCCTTATGATCTCCTTCTAAGCTTGGAGCAAAAAAGTGACTTTAGTCCATTTTTTGGTCATGTCTATCACCTGTATAGATGGTGGAATCCATACTAATATTTACCATAAGCCCAGATACTAACCTATTTTCTTACCACACAATTCCTGTGATCCACCATTTGTAAAGCTCTCAACATTCAGGTCCTTAATATGATGGGCCTACACCCATTGCTCTAATATAAATGACACTTTAGTTGAACTGGATTATATTGAAAGAATTGCCAAACAACATGGATTTCCTACAACTTTGATACATAAATTAATTAACACTTTTAAAAACACTACAGCTACATTTTCCCAATTGACATCTAAGAGGAGAATTGTATTACATTGTTTTCCCATGTTAGGATGAATACATAGACTAGCCAATATGAACAATGTAAACATTGTATATAACTTTAATCAATGGTCTTTGGAATCTTACGTAAAGACAACAACCCTATCAGCCATAATTAGATTTAATAATTACAAAATTAAGTTAATATCTTAAGGGCAGCATATTAGGTCCTTGAAGACTGCATATAGATTGAGGCTGTGTTGCTGATGATTGATTTAGATTATAAAATAATAAATTGCAATTTAAATTGTTTTTAAAAAATCATAATTAGTAGTTTCATTTTTCAACAAATTCTTATGAAACAGTTTTTAAATATTTCTAAAGTATTTTATATGATGATAATATTAAAAGAAAATATTGTATTATTACAGATTTTTCATTGCAATAATTTTTGAGTCTTAAAGGTAGTCATAAGAATTTGATTTTTGAAAAATTATGTGATATTAACCAAAACTTATGTTTCCAAAAATCTTATTTTCTTAATATTTAACTCATTGGTGAATGTGCCCATGGCAAATTGCTGCAAAATAAAGATATTCTCTCTTCCTATTACAAGATACAACATGTTTATGAAATTGGGTCAGTTATCCTACCTGTTTAGTTGTTACTGGACTTTGAATGAAGTCTCATTTGCGTTGTAACTGCCACTACGTGCCCTGCCATGTAACTAAAATATCAGTATACTTTTATATATGTGTGTTTAATTTTTTTAATAAAGTAAGTCAATATTTGCAAGTTTATTAAATAAATATATTAAATTAACACTGTCGTAAGTTTTTATAAATTTTTAAATTTATATTAGTCTATATTTTTTTAAAATATAAGGGAAAGGAAGAGGCATCCAAAGTAGCAGTAAAAAACCTAGAATTTAGTTTTATAAATGTGGCATATACAAAAACAATAGGAAAAAATTAATTTGTCAGGAATGGGTACAAATGTTTGCAAAAAGAATAGGAATATAGTGATTATATGTGCCGTGTGTGAACGTGAACATCACATGAATATAAAGTAACTTTTTTTTTTATTATCTAAATATTTTATAACCAATTTGTTCATTAAAATGTTGTAAAATTATTTTCTGGTATATCTGATTCATATTTTCAAAACAATAATTAATTATTGATTTAAATCAAGTAACATTACATATGCGGTGTAATTGCTGCGATGCGCCCTCTTGTGAAAAGCGCTCCTGAAAAGCGCATTCACCAAAGGGTTAAAGACTTTTCTTATGTTAAGATAGTTGTTAAATATTTTTGTAAGACTAAATAAACAGTTTTGCAAATACTAAATTATAATACAAAAAATTGAAGAACTGTTTTTTACTTTATTACAAATAATATGAGAAGCCAGGGGTTATCTAAACCCCTTTGATCAGTGTCAGGTTGGTAAAAACCTGCTCACGTTGTCACTGGATGGCTAGGAGGGCTATAAGTCAAGTGGGGAGGTTGCGGATAAGTCTATAGTTTGACTGGTTTATACAATTGGAGTCAGCATCCGTTTAACCAAACAATAACTTTAATAAGAATATAAAGCGATTTACAATAACTAGCTACGATTACAATTATATGCATAGCATATAGCACACACATCTCTATATGATCCGATATCTATGGGATATATACTACCTCTAACTTAAGATTTAAGATGACTGAGAGAGAGTTTACATAAATTGGTTAACTATCATACCTCTATACCATAATAGCCGTTGTCTAGGCAGTAAATTATCTGAGGAGGACCGGGGAGACATTTGGGAAGATTTTTACAAATCACCAAAAATAAAGGTAATCCTTCGGGACGACTCTGTGTTGTCATCTTCTGAATATGTCTGCCCCGACGAATGGGTGCCTGGCCATTATATTCCTCTCCAGTGTGGGAATTTGGTCTCATGATCTTCTGTTTATAGTGATGACACCTTCAGTGTGTCATCGATGGGCCAGCTACAGTGATGGGAATCTGACTTGTTATCAGACTCACACCGTGAAATTGTTCAACTTTCAAAGCTTTCTCAGATTGATTAGAGGGGGAAAGGGACTTGTTGCATCAAAGACCCCCCTTTTAAGATGAGTTTCTTGGGAAACAGATGAGAAAAAAGAAAAGTTTCTAATAATGCAAATTTTTATTAGAAATTATAGAAAAACAGCTCCCAGATTCTCACAATAATGTTTATTTAATAACAATTTAAAATTGTTTAATATATTTGATGATGATCAGTGATTCTTGGAACAGATAGTTTATCATCAAGATTTTTTAACAAGATTTTCATGATGTTATCAAAAAACCATTAAATCTTTATGACTTATTTCTGAATTTTAAATTTTACAAGAAGGATAATTATTTAGTACTTCCTTCTTATTTATTGAAAGAATTTTGAGGAATTCTAACAAATTAAGAAAATAATATATTTTTTTTTGTGGAAATATCTAATTGTTGATAAAAGTTATGCAAAATTATATTAAATTAATTAATTTTAAGTTATAGTAAATATAACATAAATATGATAAANAAAAAACCGATCCAAGTGATTTTTGACATTGTCATTTCAAGTAAATGTCTTACAGTTAAAAAAAATTGTACAGACCGGAACAAGTAATAATCTGAGTGTGCTCGATCTGGTGAATAAGGTTGGTGTGATAGCACATCCCATCTAAGTTATAACAGTTTCTGAGGAGTTACCAAACTTGTGTGAAATTTGACATTATTGTGGTAAAATACTACAGCTGTTTTTTTTTTTTATCAATTCTGGTTGGCTTTTTCTGTTTGATGATATTACGCAATTTGTTTACTCGAATGCAATACACTTTTGAATCAATTGTTAAATTGTCTGGTAAAAGCTCCAAAAAAATTTCCTTAATATCCCACCAAATCGAGCATTTCTCTTTAAGAACTCATGGAATTCATATATTGAGCTTTGAAACAAAACCAATTTGTTTCAAGTACTCATAAACAGTTCAATTTGACAAATTTAATCTCTTAGTGATTTCACGTGTTGTTATTCCGCAGTTTTATTTTGTTTTCATTGGCTTCAATTGGCCATCCATAATGTGGTGCATCTTCAATACTGAAATTGCAAGAACAAAATTTTGTAAACCAGTTTTGGTTTACAAAACTGGTTTACAAAATCTGGTTTACACTGTCGTTCTGCCAACACATCTCCACCATACATGTCACACGATTTTTTTCTCGCTTGAACGGCATTATTATTTTTTTTTGTAATAAAAGAGCAAAATATGCCGAAGATTCTGCTTTCGATCTTCCATATTTGATGGGACACAAAAAATAAACAATTGCACGAAATCAAACAAAATTTTTTACAAATAAGCCATAAAATGCTAGCTGTCAAAATATATAATGATAATACGGTTTAGAACAAAAATGGTGGGAAAAATACCACTAATTTGTCTAGTGGTAAAAAAAATGAACTTACATTCCAAACAACCCAATATTTGTATTAGTAGACTTACAAGTGAGAACTTTTCTCTTTGTGATTAAGATGTTCTTTCTCAACTAGTTTAACTTTTTTAATTTGAGCTTGGATATATTGCTTGGGATTTCTGATGATTTTTTTTCATTTCTTTGTTGCTGGTTTAGAATCAGGAATATTTTGAGACTTTTAAGTATTAGAAGTACTTGCATTACTAGCCATTGTTCTCTAAAGTTCACAAGTTCAAACTGGTTACATGATTAGAATATATTGCGTTAAAAATTTATATGTTTGGGATTTGTTAGCTGTTTGTTCAATATCATTTGTACCTGAGGATGTCTATTTCACATAAATGAAAATGTTAGTAAATTTTTCCTTTTTTCTTGATATACGCTGGTGTTGGTTTTATGAATGATATATTTATACAAACCCAGTTTTTGAGATATATTGATAACTGTTAAGTAGGTCAAAAATGTTAATTTAATTAAATGCTTTTTGTAAGTATAATAATCAATCTGAAGCACTATATATATATATTTAGCAGATTTATATTATAGCCATAGTATTTAAGGCAATTGTTTGGCTATGTATCTATAAATGCTTTTGCTGGATCAATGTTTTTTTTTTTTTTTTTTACTCTTTCTGCCTTTTCTGGTGTTAATTTCAAAGTGACCTTTGAACTTTTGTTGGGGATAATGACAAAAGAAATACACACAAACAGTTTTTAACCAACAAAAAATTATTTAATAACACAAAACCATCACTACTAAACCCTTAGATTTCAGCCAATCCAGTAAAGTAACAAATCAAATTTGCATATGTTCCAACTATTATAACTATGCCATAGACTATTATAACTAATTTAAACAAATGTTTCCAAGTATCAAATTGAATTAATTTTAATAGTGGGACTAATAATAACTGAGTTACAAGTATATCTAAAACTCTGAAACTAAATATACAAACAATATTGTGCCGATAGGTGGCCGAACACTTCAAGTCTCAGTGTTGTAATTCCTTGAGCTTTAGCTGTAGCGCCATACATCTCCTCTCAACAATGTCTCTCTTGACCTGGTACCACTCTCACTTGAGCTTGAGGACATCTTTCACAGTTTGTCTATCTTGGTTCTCCCAAGTTCTTCCTGCTTCTATCCTTGTCCAAGACTTACCCAAAGTGAGCACTCCTCCATTCGAGCCCCTCAGATATTTCCTCCCCATTGTCCAGACCAGTTTCCCTCACTTCTATTTATACAATAGAGCTGGTCTGGAAATTAATACAAACAACAGCATAATGCCAGAGAAAGGGTGGAAAGAGTATATAAAAATGAGGTGGGCAAAGATAAAAATAAAAAACATGACAGACCACTACAGTGGACACTAAGAGGGCCTTTTTCTTATTGTGGGTTCAACCAGGTCTACAATGGAGTGGTGGATGATGAGGAACAGGGCTCAACATATCTGGGAAAGGTCGCTCTTCTAAAATTTCCTGGGGTTTTTTGACCACATGGGTTCAATCCTAGGTTCTGCACAATAAGAAGTCAAAATCTTAATCATCTCAACCCAACTGGTCAGCAGATCAAAATACCATGTTAATCTTTCTTAAAATTAGCTAACTAACATTGAATAAAAAGTTTTAAAATGCTAGCCATTTATTGTTATCATTATTGGTTTGATTTCAGATGTCATCTATACTAAATAAAGTTTACAATGAGGAAACAAATCCTATTTGTAAGTATATTAATTTTAATGAAATTTTTTAGTTTCTGTAATTACTTTACAGATCTTATATGAGTTATAATAATCAAGATTAAATATGAGTTAGAATTTAATGTATTAGTAGTTTTGTGTAACAGTATACATTATATTTTAATTACTTAATATTTATATACATAATTAAAAATATAAAATATATTAAGATAACTTCATACTCTGTATATTTGTACAAAAAGTCAGATCAATCTAAAGTCTAAAGTTGCCTTCTTTTTTAAATCATTAAAAATGGATGGTCCCAATTTGGACTCTAACAAATCAATAATACTAAATCAAACCTTTATAAAGTCTAAAGTCACAATTATCTACTATACAATATTATATAAAGTCAGACTTCATGGCATTAGAAGTCATCATTATATGAAGCAAGATCTTAAAAATGAAATTAAGTATTAGTTTAATATAACTATAAATATATTTTTAATCATTTTGATTATAATATAATCTTTATAACTAATATTTTATTAGGCTATTATACGTTAGATATGAAGGAAAAAAGGTGAGAAGTATATACTAGACTTGACAATCCAGCTATTCCTTGCACAGATGGGTGCCAGATTAGTGAGTGTGTTGCATTTACTGTGAGTGTATAGACCTAAGGCAATGAATGATATGACTTCTTGCTTTTTGGTAATGATTCTTTTTGGAGACAGATGGACAACCAATATGGTCTGCAGATATGTATACAGAAATGAAACCCAAGTAAATGGGAAAACAAGATGTATGACATAACTAGCATTTACATGGAAACCAAAAGTGCATATGTAATCACACTTAGATTAGCAGATGTGTACTGTATATCATTATCTTAGAACATACCTTAGAACCAAAAAGATTACTTTAACAGAAGCATATATTTAAATTACATCTCAATCCCAAAGAATCTGCAGCTTAGACAGCAAGTGAGTTTAAATTTGTTTCCTTCCATCTTTCCATAGTATGCAAAATTTTGATACAAGCTATTGATGATTCAAAAATAGGCATATTTAAAAGAAACAAACAGCTTTGTATTTTCAAAAACTATATAACCAAATGTTAGATTTTTACATTTTTGAGCAGTAATTAATGGCTTACAGAGGCATAGGAATGACTCTTCATTTGAGAGACCAGTGCAGAGTCACTCTTCATAAAAAGGTGAATGATATGATTTTTTGGCTCAACATATTGTATGGAAGTGACTTGAATCTTGTTTTTGTTTTTTTTTTACTGTTAATTTATTGATGAAATACCTAGTTCCATTTTTTTTTTTTTCATTAGGTGGTCATCATTTCCCCTTACAGGGATCAGAGTCACCCTTGTCCCACAGATAGCACCACAAGGACCTAGTTCCATTTACAAAAGTTATTGTTCTCATACTATAGTAAATTGATACCTTTACTAATCAACAGACTTTCTCATGAAATTGGTTATCACTTCATGCCAATTTTACAATAAGACTTTCTCATGTTTGCTAAACCCAACTGCTTGTCATAGCTTCCAACTTAAACAATAATTTTTACAACATATGATCAGTGATGACATTCGAAATATTTAACAAAGGGTTCGCTAACAGAAAATTTTTCCTTAACAATTTTTTTTTTCGCTCAAATGGTGCATCGGAAGGCTCTAGTTTAGTAGTGTTACAGAGTATAATACGTATATTTTAATATTTTTAAAAGAATCAAACCATTGAGAAATGTTACATGTGTTTAACAAGGTTCGGAAAACTTTGAAAATGTTAACAACGGGTTCGGCCGAACCTGTGCGAACCCGCTGAATATCACCACTGCATATGATTACAAACTCTATCTACTGATGTGTGGTACATACATTTTTATCCCATATTCAACAGCATGGCTGAAAGTAAACAATGAAGACATTAGTAAAATTCAGATCGTATCCACCAATTTCTGGTCCATCAAAAAGAACACCTTACAACTCCTTGACACAAAATAAGTCTATATATTTTACACTATTTACAGAGATACACAACAATACATCTTGATTACTTCTAACTACGAGATATTAGTCCAGATTCCTCACAGTCTTAGGCTAACCTCCTTCTCTAACAGTTGCATTGCCTTATATTTCATTTTAGCCAGTCAATCTGGAGCTAGACTGAGCTGAGCTTTCTACCAGGTCCACTTTGGTTGGTATGCCTGTGTCAACTTGTTTAACCAATCTTTTCCAGAAAACATGTACTGACAAATGAAAACTTGACTTAGCTTGGCACCACTCGAAACCTCTTTGACAACATTTGTGATATGACATACCAGGTTATAAAACTGTAGGCCAGGTCCCTTATGTACCATGATTGGAAGGATCATTGCTCCCCTGGCCCTCATTCTTACACCTATAGCTTAATGATCATTGAGAAGGAAACTTACAAAGAAAAGCTGAATTCTCAAAACATAACATTTTTTTCATGGATGGCTTCATAATCTTAGCATCATAATCAAATTTAACTATAAAATGCAAACTGATAATTGTGAGGATATACAAAGTTAATTGAAAATGTCTCAAGTCTGAAGATGTTTGTAATTTTAAAATATATTAATTACATATTTCATGTAGTACCCACAAAGATAATGAAGAAATTTTATATAAAATCAAAAATGTAATTAAAAATAATCTTTTATTCTCTGAAGTAAATTTTTATGATAATTTTTTAATAATCATCTGTTTGAATTATATAAAATTAAATTTCAGAAAAAACAATGCATGTTAAATATTAATTTAATTATTATTATATTATATTTGGATTAAAAAGTTTTTTGTTTCTTCTACAAAGTTACTTTTTCTAAAGCAAAGATTGTAAACTGGTGGTCCTTGGGCCGGATATGGCCTGTTAAAGCTTCATATCCAGCCTGTGGCCTTGATTTCTTTTCTAAAAATCAATGTTTCTAACATCCTGTGGGGATTAAAATTTAAAAAATTCAAACATTAACTGTTTACATAAGTTGTAAAGACCTGACAAGAAAAGGACCTTTATTAGAACCTTTTACTTTTTTGACTGTTATGTGTACATAACAAGGGAAAGTTTGGAATAGTGTCAAAGTTGACTCTGAGTATATTTTGCAAATCTCCACATTTTGAGACTTCCTGAATCCAAAAAAGTAAAAAAATTACAAAAAAATTCTGTGTGTGTGTGTTGGCATCTATTTTGTTTAATATCTCAAGATGAGGGTAAAGATAAAAAATGAAATTTGGCATGGAAAATTGTGTATAAGGGGAATTGGTGCTATTAAATTTTAGTGGTTAAGGGTCAAGGCAGTGGTGAGATAGAGGGTGATCATGTCATAACTCAAGTGGAGTCAAACTTAATGATGAAGTAATATGTTATTAGCATTTACAATTTTTTTACGAAACTCATCACTAACCTCAAAATTAAAGCTTTTTCCATTCAATAATAAAAATATAAAAGTTATTTTTTGAATAAAATCTGATAATAGCCAGAAAGTTATGCAACTTATTGCTGGATTGTTTTTAATTACAGTATGTTTTGGTAACCAAAACATACTGTAATTAAAAATATACATCTATCTGATTAGCTCTGCTGCATTTGAGTTTGAGACCCGTTCTAAAGTCACAACTCAAGAAGTTTCAATCTCAAAGTTATGACTTTAGACAAGTTTGACTGATATCAAAAATTCTTAATAATCAGACCAGGAGAAAATGCAGATATCTGTGATGAATATCTTTTCATACTGATTTGATATCAAAACAGAGTTGAAGTTTCTTAATAAAGAAATAGTGTAAAATATTTTAATTGAAACACTGATATCAAAGACATTTGGTATTATATATCTTCTAAAAGCCTTCTCACATTATTTTAACAAAAATATTTGATACTCTCAATTTTAATAAGTTTTTACTTTTTCATGTTAAAAATAAAATTATATTAATAATGCATTAAATATTTATAGATAATTTATTAAACATACAAATTTTTAAATATTTTTATTAATGTCCTTATTGAAATGTCCTTGACTTTTTCCTTTTATTTCCATTTTTATCATTCCTAACATTATAATCTTAAAATATTTCTGTAGAAGTATTTTATTTAATATTTTAAGACTTTCTGTTTTCTATTTTTTCTTTCTAAATTTTTATATAATTGAAGTTAAAAATCTAAAATATTTTAAAGATTTTAGTATATTAAAATATATTGTTGAAAAATTAATACAAAAATATGATCAAGTGTGATCATGTGTGTTAATCTTTTGTATTAATATTTATATAAATTGTATTGCTAAAAATAGACAATCTATTTGAAATATCTTATAAGAAATGATACTAATATATAAAAGCATTTTTTAAAATTTACTTTGGATAAAACAATTTAAAAATTTTCATTATGATTTAGAAAATTTTTCATTTAATGTATAAATTTCATTACAGTTTATTTAGACACAGCACACATTTTTTAAAACTACAAAGTACATATTTTTTTTTGTAATTGAACACTTATTGATAACCAAAATGTTTTAACTAACTTTTCTTTTGTTTTCTCCTTGTCATGATTTATTGGGAATATATTTACAATAAACTTTAATTATCATCATTATTCATCAATTTAAAATATCCGGTTCACAATGTAAAGTGATCTGACTTCAAGGAAGTAAACTAATTAATATAAACTTTAAACACACTATGATGCAATTTTCCAAAAAATCTTGAAATGTGTAACATGTCCAGCAAAAAATTTACAGAACATTTTTTCCTCAAACAATAACATTATAAAATTTTATATGAGTGTTATTGCAAAAACAAACAAACATAATATTACTCTAATTTTTTAAATATTTTTCTGTTAATAAAATTATTTTTGAGTTATTTTGCAGAGTTTGATAACATGAGAAGAAAACCATTTTTGTTTTTTTTTTTTTTCTTTCTTTCTTTTAGTTATGAATGTTACAAAGTAAAGTTATACTGTAATTTTATTTTTAAAATAACTACTGTATTATAATTTATGAAGAAAAGAGAGAAATTTTAAAGAATTGATTTTAAAATTGTAAGTTATATTCATTAAGTATACAGTAGTGTCAATTAACCAAGACCCATTTAGGCCAGATATAAACCCATTAGATGTACAGTACAATACAGGGGATAATTCTGACTGTTATTGCACATGCTGAGTCTTTTTATATAAACATCCCAAAGCCTGTGTGAAATCCGGAATTTTTGTCGACTATTTGTCGATTAATTGTCCTGTATTTGCTTAAAATCTAATTAAATTTTCCTTTAACTTAAAGTGGAACCTAACGGAAAAAAAAACTTTTCGTTTATGTTCGACATAAACATCCGTTCAATTCGAAACTAATCCCACATTCCAACGCTAAAGTTGATAGTTAGCATGGTCCCGGGAACAACTCTGACCCATCTGCATACCTTTTACCTCACAACAATTGGTCACATGACCATTCTCCCACGCTGAACTTATAAAAACCCCTTCCTTCCCCTTCTCGGGGGAGTCGTTCATTCGCCGTCACTTTTACAACTGTGTCCTAAGAATATTGTGTCCTATTAATATACTGTGTCCTATCCGATATTGTGTCCTGAAGAAGAATTATTATCCTAATCCTACCACATCGTTGGATATCAAAACCTTTTTCCTTAAGAATATTCAAAGACATAAAGAGGTATGGACCTTATTTTTGTGAACTCTCTCTCGGTCCTTCGCGGTTCAGGGATTCAGATTTTCCCTTTTGAAATTGGTTATTGTAATCTCTATGTAGCTAATAAATCGTTGTTATCCTGTTAAAGTGGTGTCATCTTTACTCATATATCGCCAGTCATCTTACCGACGCACTCCTCCCTCCGCCACTCGACCCGAAACATTTAATCCCGTTACTGCGGGAAAGGTTAAAATTTTAATCCATCCTGACCAGTGATAAGGGTTTAACGACCTGTTGCCGGATCGGGAGACCTACACCCTCCCCGGCGGTTCACACCTGATATTTTAGTAATATGCCAAATGACTGCCAGTTTAAATTGATCTACTTTACCACTATAATTTTTAATTAAATTTTGAATAATTTAGAATAATCTGGAAGAAAAGAATCAGCCTGGAGTGGGACTTGAATGCACAACTCTAGCTTACTGTATGGATGCATTGACAGTTACACTACAAGGCCCTACAACAGGCATGGCCAACATACAGCCCGTGTAATGAATTTATGTGGCTTGAGATTAATCTTTCAATATTAGCTACTCAAGTCTGAATAGCTCAATGAAAAATTCTGACGTCTAAAAAAGAAAAAAAAAGGTCAACAACTCACTGTGCATTTAGAGTTAACGCTCCATTACAAATCTCTTAAGTACAACATAGAATGTTTATAATGCATGATAATGTGAAATGTATCTGTAATCTCTATGTACAATTTAGTCTCTACAGGATGACACCACAATGAGATCTTGCACCACCTCAAAATCTTCCTAGGACAGCGTCTGGTTTGGCCCGTGAAAAAAGTTTTCTTTCCAATTTGGCCTGGAGGCAAAAACTGTTGGCATCCGTCCCTACAACTTGATCTTCCCTTCCAGACATATTTAAGATATAACTATACTCAGTTACTTACAGCACTAACTGGGAACACCTTCAGTACCCATATCCCCAGTTGGCAAATGTCTGGAAGGAAAAATTAGGTCAGAGGTCCAAATAACATAACTGGCAATGCATCTGCATGGAAAACAGGAATTGGATGGGTTCAAGTCCCGCTCCAGGCCGATTCTTATCTTCCAGAATATTCTAAATCAAGAATTGGCAACTGTTTTGTTACTAAGGGTGTAATAAAAATTTTAAAAACCATCAAGGGCACATTAATTTTCTGAAAAAAAAAAAAAATCACAAACTATAATAAATAAACAAAATAATTATGTTTTGAAATATGTATATTTATACAAAATAAAGATATGATTTTGTGTTATTTTAAGTATATACTTTTCATTTTTTAGTTTATAATGCATATACTTAAAATAACAAAATCAGATTAAATAAAATTACAAGTATATATATTTGTGCTTGTGTAACTATGGTTCTAGAGAAGTGCATCTGAAATGCATCATGGGTGACATGTTGGGAATCTATTCTGAATTATTTATTAAATATTAATTTAATTATAATTAAATTTAATACATGATGACACCTAACACCTAGTTCTAGTAGCAAATTATTTAGAATTTAAATAAAAATAAAATAAATTATATAAATAATAAAAAAGTTAGTCTTTATTTTATAATATTTTAATAAACACATACAAAAACAGGAAAGTTCTGGAGTCTTCTATTCATAGCCTTCAGAATACAATTAACAATAGCAGAATCAACCTTTTTTGGAGGCTCTTCTTCACCTATACATATGCAAATTGTCTAAAAGTTTCATTTACTTGGCACATTTTTTTTTCTATGCTCCATTTTCAAATTTTGTAACATTTTAATGTTTCTCTGTTAATTATAAATACAGTAGACCCTCTATAACACAGGTTCCTATAATTACGATTCCTATAAGACGGTGAAAAAATTACGACGGTATCCGTACAAACCTGGTAAAAAAACTCCTATAATTCGGTAAAACGTCATCGGGCAGCCGAACTACTTTCCGCCGTCCAGCGCCACGCTACAGAGAATTTAGGCGGGTAAATTGAGTTTACTATCGTCTGTACTGTATGTAAATTAGGTACCGTAAATCTAATACAGTACTGTAATTGTATACATTTTTTGTGAAAGAAACATTTCTTATTAAACAGCCATAAAAATTATTTATATTAATGATGTCTCCAAAGTTCAACGAAGTTTTCGCAGAAAAATAACTTATCAGAAATCGCCCGCCGTTTGGTGCACTGCTCCGCGACGAAAACAAGCTTAAGCAATGGCGACGTCGAACGGTGCACACTCAGTAAGTAATCCTACAATTTTTTGTTTATAGCATAGTTTATACGGATTATTCCCCAAAAAAATTATACATATTTTGGAAATGTTGAGTCGAATTAGTCTAGAATCGATTAATTTTATGGAAGAAAACCTTTCAAACAGCCGTAGTCCGTAAACTTCACACGTGCCGGGCTGTGATTGGCAAGGACTCATACAAAATTGATTCATAAAGAACGGAACGTATTTACCATGTTATAGGTGGGTCGACTGTAGTTACATAAGTGTTTAGGCATTTCTTGGGTAGAGCATAAATTTATGCTGATGACATGCAATCCACACACAAAACAATACCATGAAAAATTACAAAATACAGTATGATGTTCAAGAAAGGTTTCGGCATCAATCATTATTCTCAAGTATTGATAGAATTTATTATTGTGATGTAATTATTCTCTATTTTTTCCAGCCTTACTCTCTTGCTCATTTGGCATGCTATCAGTTGCCAAACTAATCACATTTGTTCTATTGTGGCTGAAAGAATATCCATGCAAGTGCAATATCAAGAAGAAAGATTTCTTTAGTGTTATCGGCAAATTCAACTGTAGCATCAAAAAGCTGGGGTTATACGGTATAATTTCAGTTTTAAGTATTGTAAGTTATTTAGTATGCTCATATACATATAAAGTTTGTGTTTTATTTTTAATGTTTCGATTTTTTTTCTCAATTCTTCAAGGCGTTTTATTTATATTTTGGTCCAAATATTAAAATCATTCATCTGGCTATAGGCACTATTATTATTGCTGCATTTTTTCTACTCCAGGTAAAAAAATTAAACTTTAAAATTTATTAGTTTCATTATATCATCATCAAATTAAAATCCAATTTAATTGATAAAAGCTAAAGTAGCTGCTGAATTATTGGACTATTTGCAGGTTGCATTAATTATTAAAATTAATTTGAGATGGCAGCATATCTGCCTCCCTCTAGTCAGATTAATTGGTAACTAATTATTAATGTAAAACACAAACACTGAACCAATTTATGGTATGGAACGATCGACTAATCATAAAAAACGAATGTTTTTGAACCCCTTCTGGGCTCTTCATCAGGTTTTAGCTCGTAAATTCGATTGACCTATTAATGTAACCTGAAAATAGCCCAATAATTTGACAGATTGGCTTTAGTTATTATTATTATACACTTTTAATATTTTAATTTCAGGAGCCAAATGCAGTTGAAATTAGCAGTATTTTGGAAAATAATAATATAAATATTGGCTGTGGAGCAGCTCAGCAATATTTTTATGGTTACCTGAGAATAATTATGTCTGCAGAAACAAATGGTAATGCTGTTTAAATGAATTGAATATATTTGATTTAGGTTTTGCTATTTACTTTAACAGGATTTGACTGTACAGTAGAGTGTCGATTTTCCGAAAGTCAATCATCCAAAACATCAATCATCCGAAAGAATTCCAGTCGGCAAATTTAAATTTTCGCCAGTGCTGTGGCGCTTCAATCTTTGGCTATGTCTTGGGCTACTCAAATATTTTACGTTTTTGATACTAAATTAACATCTGAAGTATAATTTTTTATTGTTTTTATATTTTTCAATATATTTATTTTGTTTGTACAAAATAAAAAAATAATTTTTGACAATACGATAGTCTTTGTTAGGCTTAACATTGACGAAAATTCAACGGAGAAAAATTTCAACATCGGATACGTTAAACTATTTTTTCGTACATAAATCGGTTATCCGAAACATCAGTTATACGAACAACCCCAGTCCCCAATTGATTCGGAAAATCGACGCTCTACTGTATTTACAAAATTGAAAGATCTTAAAAATTGGCACTTTGTATTAATGAAACTTGTATTCATCAAACTTATTAACATTGAAATGCTTTTCCTCTCATCCACAGGATCACAAATTTACTTTACATCTCTAACTGCATTATTATTTAAAAAAAAGTCCACCATACCTTTAAATTGCAGTCTATTTTAAACACTTATCGAACGTTTTCAGTCAGATTAACATAAGGTTCGATAAGTGTTTAAAATAGACTGCAATTTAAAGGTATGGTGGACTTTTTTTACAAATTTACTTTGCATTAATGTGAGTTTCACATAAGCCAATAATTTAATAATGGGATTTGACTGTATTTTAATGATAGAAAAGTTAGTCTTTAAAGATTAAAAGACTAACTGAAATCTCTTTACAGTATATAGGAAACATAAATCTCCCAAATTATATAGTTTTGACAACCTGCATACAATGTGCATTATTTAGCTACAGCAGTATATAGTAGTGATTCCCAAACCCTACCCCTAACCATTTTCCCTTGTGTAAAAAAGGCTTGGAAATATTCTTAGAAAAAGTTTTCTATGAACCTAAATGTACTGTCTTTGTCCCCTTACTGTATATTTTTCTGCACATATGGAAACTTTTAAACACAATGTTTCTTACCTGTTTTAATATAGGAAAGAGAAAGGTTTGTCAGTAACCCTAACCCTTGCCTATGGTCACTATTAGGTCACCCTGCCTCCAGCACCCCTCCTGCCCACTTGCCTCACTTGATTTTGAGAATTTCCATAACAAAAAAAAAAACATGCTCATTTCTAGAACTTTAAAAGTTATAAGTTTGTATGAAATTCAAAATGATAGATGTTCCAAATTTAAAAACATCTGTAATTGGATGATGGAATGATATTTCTCATGTGCAAAGAAAATGTTCACTACACAAATAGCAGAGACTGACTATAGATCATTTGAAAAAATAACACTTTCAATTATGGAAATAAGTTTTAAAATTTAAGCATTTATTTAGTCCCAAAAAATGGTCAAATTGTAAAATATACAGTAAAAGTCATAAATACACATTTTTCTGTTTTTAAAAATGTATAAAGTTGTCCAATGATGATATTTTGTAATTTGATCTACTAGAATCCAAATCATGTTTATTTAAAAGGTTTCAGCATCATAGCATTTAAATCTGGTCCTTAATGATAACAACTGAACTCTGATTACATATGTAATCCTGGTCTTTACATTATTGTAAACATATTGTAGATAATTTAGAAAAGAGTATATAAATATTTAGAAATTAAACTTAACCAATCAAAAACAACCAGAAACTATAAACAAGAAACATCAGTTGACTGCACTTAATATCACTTAGCAGGATGACACATCACCTGATGATGCATTGATAACCAGGAGCTATCATATGATAATAATCCAGAATGTAAGGTTTTACACCAACTCCTTTAGGGTTTTCATTATTTCAGTGGAATGCAGGCTAAGAAAAACAGTACAGGCAAATCTTGCTCTAAAGCACTATCATTATTATTATTATTATTATAGTGATTTTATTATATTCATATTATTTTTGGTACTTGCTTTGCTCTTAAAAACACCAAAAACTTCTGGTTTTTCTTTTTTTTTCCTTACTTTTGCATCTATTTTTTAGACTTAGCATTATTGCACACTTAATAAATTATAGCATAAATCTCCTTAGGTTTTTATATGTACTGGTAAGTGAAAAACAGGTTGTGATTCAATTTATGCTGGCAGTCTGGAACCTAATCTACTATATTAATGAAGTATGTCTGTACTGAACCTTATATAAAAGATCCACAATCTAATCTACAGGGCTGAAGAGAGACCTGCATTCCAGTAACTTTGTCCACACAGTCCAATGAATCTTTAACAATAATCAATCAATTCCCAAGAAAAGAGAACAGAAGATTACCTCCTATTTAAGATCCAAGTTAGAATTGACATCAGCTTTAAAGGTAATATTTGCAAGCTCTGCCAGTATTCGAGGGCATTGGCTAAATTGTAAATGTGTATAGTTAAACAGTAATTGTGATTAATAAATGAAATTTTTTTGGCCATCTTCATACCATCATATAAAATTGGGATTTGCATAGACCAACACTCAATCCTTACACTGCAACACATTCACAAGATGATGGTCACAGAATTTCATAAATGTTTTAATTTATCAGAATTAACATGTCCCAGAATTTGCAATATCTATTGTATTATTGGCATTTTTTATCCACACTAGCTTGATGTCAGAAAATTTGTACATGGAATAATACTTTTGGGCAAAAATTACAATTTAATGTTGTTATTCAGCCCTTGGCAAGCATTGCTCAAACTACAGGGCTAACTGTTTAATAGAAGAAATTTAAAATTTCACAGAAAAATATTAACTTTTATACTGCACTTTTGCAGGATTCAAAAAATATACTAGAAACCACTTAAAAAGTCTTGACTTTTTATCAGAGGTGGTTATATTGAACTTACAATGATAATAATAAAAAAAAGACTGCATTTAATTAGTTTCAGTGACCATTTCTATGACTTCTTTCGCATTAGTTTCAGTGACCATTTCTATGACTTCATTCTCATTTTTTACTACTTCAATAAACAAGTTTTAATCAATTTTAATAATTTAACTTAATCCAAAAATTTGAAAGCTTGAAGACACTTGGAGATGCATTTAAAACAATTGATTTGACAAAACTGTTTAATGTAAACATGCTCCAAATGACCCCTTAGGCTACACAAATCAGATGGATCCATTCTCCCAGTGTAACTTTAATTATATTTAATATTTTATTCCCATCAAAGAAACCATTGAGATGAATAATACAATCATGACAAGTGAAATATTAAATACTATTACAGAATAGTACTCAATATTTGATGTATTAAAATGCTAAATGAGAAACTTTCAAATTAATCTGTATTATTTGAAACTTTGGCATAATGGATGTGCAGAGTAAATGTAGTATAAATAATTTTAAAAGTTTTTGTCATGACATATATACATGGCACGTGTGTGTGTGTATACATAAATCAATTATTTTTGGATATGATAAGTATGACAAGTAAAGAACCTTAAAACATTTGAATGAGAACTATGGTTTTAAATTGAGTTCTTCTGTAATTTACCATTATTCAAGGAACCAGTGAAAAAATATGTTGGCTTTTATGTATTCCCAAATTTAAACATTCTTAAAACATGTCTGAATCTACAAATACATTGCATATATGTTCAGAATGGATAAAATGAGTAAAAACATACATGTTACCAGTGTAAACTCACCCATAAAAGTATTTCATACAATAGACTAATGTACTGTACAATCAGCACCGCTAGACATAGTTTAACAGTTCATCATTGTGTAAAATGTCTTTTGAAAGTAATTGGGGACTCTTTGTTTCCTGTTGAGGATTTGATGTGTCTATCACTGCTGTTTCTAAGTTTGAAACAAAGTCAATATTATTACTGCTTTTATACATTAATACTTCCTTTTGTATTTTGTACTTGTTGCACACTACTTGAACATCTGAAAGCACATTTAAATCACTTTACTCTTTTGTAATACTCACACATTAAAAAAAATGACAAAAGTGAATTTTCCCTTGTAGACTCCTCAAATATCTTTTGTCCCAGGCCCTGCAAAACTCCAGCTGTCCCTATATGTGCATAAGATAATGAGATATTTGAAAGAAAATAAAGAGAGAGAACTGTTACAAAGTTTAATGAATGAATAGTAAATTAAAAATTGCAATTTTCAAACTTATTTTTTTGCAACAATAAAAACTTATTATGTAAATGTATAAAATTGTCCCAAACAACCAGAGTATATCAATAAAATATTTAAATTTTATATATTTTCAATAGCAATTTTTTTAATGGTTATATCTGAATTTTGAAACCTAGACTGCTGTAATTTATTTGGTATATAAAGGAATCTTAGGACAAATAAATAACCATCTGAACAGCAATTAAGCTTTTTGAATTATTAAGTTAACTATTGACATAAACCTTGCATAACTTAATCACTAATTAACTGAGAATAAAATGTAATTCACAATAACAAAAAAATTACTAACATGCACAGAGTATCTTTATTTGGTGCTTTTCCATTTAGTTTTAAAATTGATATTTTGTTGCCAAATTATCATCTGGAAAAATTAACTTCATTTTGTAAATTTAAATTATAGGATGGAGAGAGAGGATTCAAAATTACAGAAGACGACATGGTGTAGATATTTATTCCAAACTGATCATACTGTTACCAGAAAGCTGTCAAAGCCGCAGTTTGTTAATAGATGACCTTTGCGTTCCTGAGATACGACTGGCAAGTCCACTAGACCCATTGATACTCAACAAGAGTGGTATTGAAAGAATTTTTGATTCTACAGTTTATGTAATAGATGAGGTAATAAAGTAACAGTAATTTAAAAAATAAAAGTTTATTAAACTGTTGAAATAATAATTATTAAATCTTTCAATAGCAAATTTGGTTTGTAGCAGAATATGTCCCACCACTGACTACTTTCTGCAAAATGTTAGATTCTGGGACAGGGCATGTGTTTACTGCAGATGACAAAAGGGAACAATATATTCTTTTCTGTCAGCATCTGAAAAAATTGATTGAACAGGATGTGGACTGTGCAGACAAATGCCTTCTTGTCCAATATGATGGTAAATTTTGATTTGCTTTTAGTTCGTGTGTTTATCTACTGATTTTTAAAATTTAAATACATTTCAGATAAAAAAGAACAGTCATTAACACAGTTGCTACTCAAAAGAATAGAAGATGATAGATTGCAAATGGGAAGAGCTGCTGGTTGAATTCTCACTAAAAGAATAATATAATAATGTGATTATTGTATTTCTTAATGGGCACTATTTAAATGTTTATAAAACAAATGCCATATATTGAATATTGATATTCAAATGTTTGTTTATAATTTTGTGTGTTTTCATGTAAATTTTTCAAATTGTCATATTTACTATTCCTTGTCAATTCAATAAAAACAATTTTTAAGCTTAGACAATATGAAAATTGAGGTGCAGTTTATCATCAGAAAAGTGACACGAAATTAATTTAAGAAAACACACCAACTGTTTGTTAGTTGATTTTATTTATTGTACACAAGTACACGGCGAAAATAAATGTTATGCACAAAGTGGTTCGCTCTGTACCCGTCAAAAACACAACAGCCAGACACACATTCCAACAGATAAAAACACAAGCAGGCATTCATTCCCACAACACAGGAGAAAGCTTCCCCAAAACATATGGAAGCACTTTGCCAATCAACTTTTCAGTTGACTACATAATTCTTATAAATATAGCTGCGGAAATAATCAATCTACAATATTCTTCTTTTTGTGTTTTTACCAATGGCGTGTTTGAAAAATCGATTAAAAAACTATATGACTTTTAAAGACTAGACAGATCTGTTAAAAAAATAATAAAACACGCACACACAAGAATTAAATAAACTTTTTTCCAGCAAAATTGTTAAAATTAAATAGTTCATAATTTAAAATTATTATTATTAGCAGCATCTGGAAATTATTTTCAGTTAAACTTTAAATAAAAAAGTGAAAAAAGCATGCATTTGTATCGTGTGCGGTCTTTTTGGTCGTTGCACGTCGTCCAAATGAAGACGTGGACTAGAGTTTTCAAAAAGCATCAAAATAATCATTTGTATCCCAATATCTTATATTTATTTAACAATGAACAGTGTAATTTCAATGTAAATTTTAAAGATGTTTAGAGCATACTCTTAAACCGCACAGGAAACAAATATGGGACATTGCATTGTGATCAGATCTATCTGGGAATGGGTGTTGCAACCCTTGACAGAATATAAAATTCAATCCTAGCTCCACAAAATATTTATATTAATACTAAGTTATTTGGCCTCGATATTTGCGTTGCAATCTAACAATGGATTTTCATAATTTAACCTGCTTCGACAGGAAGAATTTTTTTATTTGCTAAATTCTATATAGGGTGAGTTGACAATATTTCAAGTGCAAAGCTGGTATGTCCTTTTGATTGTATATGTTGAATAGTCTTATTTTCTCTAGTTTTACTTTACTTGCCTGAAAAAGAATCTGCAAACTGAGTAATAAATTACGATTGCCTCCAGTAGCAAGATTTAGTGTACGTAAGAAAACATTTGATGGATCAAGGGCATTCTTCTTTTGTGGATGCATTTCAAGTGATAGCCAAGGCATTGGAATCGGATCTAACCTGTAACTGATGTTTCCTTCTGTCGGATATCTTCGAAAGCTATTAGTGGATTTCCTGGGACTCTGTTAGAATTTATATCATCAGCATTGTTGAGCAGGTTTACTTCATTTTGATTGATTGCTTCTGTGGCATTAGTTGTCGCTTCCAGATTAATCACTTGATCGAGGGAAGAGTCTGTTATTTCTTCACCTGACGATGATTGACTAATCTTCCTCAAGTCCTGAGTAGAGGATTCTAATCTCTCCAAACTAAAACATTAAAAACAAAATTCTTTAAAAATTTATCAGAAACTTTAAATGATTCTACTATATGCAAATATAATTACATTTATAATTTAAATGCCTTCTGTAATAGAATAAATGTTATATTAATTTTTTTTGTTTTTTAATTAATTACAGTAGAGCGTCATTTATCCGAAAGTCAGTTATCCGAAACGTCGGTTATCTGAAAGAATTCCAATCGGCAAATTTAAATTTTTGCTAGTGCTGTGGCGCTGCAATCTTTGGCTTTATCTTGGGCTACTCAAATATTTTTTTTGTTGATATGCGTGTTTTAGCTGTCAGCACTGGCAATTTTGTGTGGTGTTTTTCTGAGGACTGTGTGTCATGCTGAATCGAACATTTTTGATTCTAGATTAACTTCTAAAGTATAATTTTTTTTGTTTTTATATTTTTCAATATATTTATTTTGTTTGTAAAAATAAAGAAATAATTTTTAACGATATAATAGCCAAGATTATTATTTTAAAAAGTTTACATTAGGCTTAACATCGACGAAAATTTAACACAAAGCGACATGCAATGGAGAAAAATTTCAACATGGGATAGATTAATATATTTTTTTTGTACATAATCGGTTATCCGAAAAATAAGTTATCCGAACAACCCCATTTCGGATAACTTCGGATAAACGACGCTCTACTTAGTATCAAAATTATCAAACAACAACAACCCACTCAGAGATGATTCATAAAATATGCAACATACAATATCCACTTAACAAATAGAAGAAAAATCATTATTAAATAATATTTATTTTTGAATTCTTAATTATCAAAATGTGCCTTATTTAATCCATTTGGATATTATAAAACAACAATCAGTTCTAATTATCTCATATATAAATGTTCTATTATACAGATTATGAGTGTTAAATTTTTTTATGTATTGTAAAGTTATGAGAATCCAGGGACTGTTTTTCTAAATTTTTAACGAAACGATGTTTTAACTAAACTAGCAGCAAGCAATTAAAGAATTCATGTTTCTAGGGTTATAAAGTGACAAAGTCTTCCCCCCTCACACTGACCCACAAAAAAAATCACAAATATGTTATAACAATAAGTAGTTAAATGGAATCGCCTGGTGTATTTCTTATTTCTTCTAACTGTTTTTAGATTCCCCCTTTTGAGAAAGTTGACAGTTAACTAAGACTAAACTTTAATAATTAGCAAGATTGAGGCCGAAGTTTCAAATGCAAAAACGTGTACGTCAGACGTTCAGCGCCGCTTTCCTGTAATCCTAGAAGTTTGACAATGGTGTTTGGATAGTCAGTGGAATCATGCTCGACATTTCAAACACCACTGTCAAATTTCTAGGCTTACAGGAAAGCGGCGCTGAACGTCCAATGTACACATTTTCGCATCTGAAACTTCGGCCTCAACCTCACTATTGATTGTTATAACATAATAGGCAATTTTGTCTACTTTCATTGTCCAGCAATGACACCTTTGATGTGTCATCACTACCAAACAAATGGTCATCTGATCAGATTCCCACACTGGATCCCAATATAATGCAAACACACCCAATCTTTGGGGCATTTGTTCAAAAAGTCCAGAGGATTACCTATAATTTTGTGAATTTGTGCCTGAAGCCTATCGAACGTCCTTCCTCCTTCCTCCAAGAAGTGCATCCAAAGAAACCATCAACGAGATATGATAATTGATTGGTCTATGTATGTTCTCTCTCAGTTGGAAATAGCATTTTGTAGGATTAATGCTTGCTTAATAATAATAATGCTCTCTAGTGATTTGTACCAGCTTGAGGAAACTGTATTCCTCACATTTAGATTTGTGCCTATAATTTTTTTTGTTTTTATTAAATTTGTTGAATTTTTCTTGATGGTTGGTCTTGCTATGATATCATGGATGTCTTATAGATGACCTCACTAAACCCTCATTAAATCAATTAGATTATTTCATACATCTAACCCATAATATTATAATATTTGATTTATATTTACTAAGGTTATCTTATGTAAGGGTTTATCACACCAAGTGTCCAATCTAATACATTTTAAAAATTCTTTAAATTGTGTACAGTAGAGGAATAAAGAATTTTTAAAATGTGGTAAATTTGTCAATTGGTGTGATAAACTCTTACATAAGATAACCTTTGTAGTTATATAAATCAAATACTATAATATAACAAACCATATAGTTTCACCCTACCAATGTCATGTTTATCACAATACTCTGATGGTATCAAATGGTACAAATTCAATGGTAAAGTAGACAGGAATTGAAAATAAATTTTTCAGCTACCATAATATTTTTTAAGATAGAATGTTAAATCTAAGAAACTACCATTTACAGCCGAATATCAAACATTAATCTGCCAACCAAATTTTGGAAAAAATGGACAAAATATTTAAACTCTGCACCTCTCACAAACCACTTAAATCATATTTTGTGCTTGCTGGTAACCTTGAATTATGTAATTTTCCTATGCGAATGCCACAATACCACTGGTCTGTTGTGCAATTTTGGAGCTATTCTGGCAAGGAAAGCGTCAATGTGAAATTGTTGGTTTGCTCTGTGTTCCCAAAATGACAGTCTCGGATGCAGTTCAGTGATTCAAGAAGCTTGGCCATAATGGTGACCATCTCAGATGTGGAAGAAAGCACACCATCAACACGTCTAGGAACCGCAAGATCATCAAAAAGCGAGTTGACTGACATGAGGAAAAATTGCTCGTGAGATTGGAATCAATAGCGAATCAATGTGGTTAATGGCAAAAAAAGAAACTTGGACTCAAGCTCTACAAGTTCCGAAAGTTTCAGCTCCTCATCAATGAAAACAAGTGCAAGCGACTCCAAAGATGCTGTCAACTCAAGCGTCGGGCCGCAGGTCAACAATGGGAGCACATTCTCTTCACAGACAAGAAGCTTTTCTCTGTACAACAGACGCACAACCATCAAAATGACAGGAACTGGTCCACGGAAGCTCCCTGATGCTCAGCCATCGTCGAACATCACAAAAATCCAATGTTTGGGCCGAAATTTGTGCAAGTGGCAAGACACCCGTTGTTTTCGTCAATCAAGGGGCCAAAATCAATCAAAACATGTACTGCCATGACATTCTCGAGGCCGTGGTAGTTCCGTGGGCTCAGCAGCATTTTGGACATTTCAGCAGGACTCAGTGCCAGCATACAGGGCGAAGAAGACTAAGGAGTAGTGAAAGGCTCATTTTCCTGATTTCATCTTGTCTGCGGAATGGCCACAATACTCACCAGATCTGAACTCAATGGACTACAGTGTGTAGTCCATTTTGGAGGCTAGGGCCTGTGCTAAACACCACAAAAGTTTGGAGTTGCTGAAGCAATCCTTGTGCCAGAAGTGGGACAAACTGTCTTCAGAAGAGCTGCAACTCATTGCCAAAAATTTAGATACACATTTGGGGCTCTGCATCAAGGCAAAAGGAGGCCACTTTGAAACCGACTGAATATCTGATTAATACGTAAAGTATTGTCACTGCTATCTGCTGTTGTTTTGCTAATTTTCATTTCTTTAATAAATTTACAATGCAAAAAACTTGTACGGGTTAATTATTGTCAC